AGGTACGGAAAATATTTAGAGTGCTTCACGTTCAGCAGTAACCTTGGCTGGGAGCTATACAATTAGCCACTGAGGCCTTTGAACGCAGTTTGGTCCAGAGGAAGTGTGGTCTGTGGACTGAGTTTTTCCATGTTCACTGTTAAGTGAGTTTATTTCATTACATTTGTGCTCATACTGTATGTTAATGTGAGCCAGTCTAACACTGGCCGTCCGGTGCAGGAGTTATGAAAGGACACATAGCATTTCTATATCTACCAAAATCTGGAAACGTGTCTCGGTAGCATTTCATCTACCAAAATCTGGAAACGTGTCTCGGAGTATTGCAGGGTTTAACGCCATAAGTTAACAACCGCCAGCATATATCACTCCACATATTTAGATTAAAATGTGGAAAATGTCGGACAACAAACACCAACAATAAAATCTTAGCAACCACAGAGAACGTCTGTGGATTGACGTAATAGAGTAACAGTGAACAGAAACGAGTGCAGCAGAACGCTGTTTATTTTATTGGTGGAGAGTCATGTGACAAAGTAATCTGTTACAGGCTGCGCTGCTGGTGTGTCTCTCCTCTCACTCACTCTTACCAGTCCAGCAGGTGTCAAATGTTTTGTCATTTTTAGTATTGAACAAAGACAGAACATTTCAAGTAGTACAAACGTCACACACGTACGTGGTATCGCTGTCTATCTGAACGAGGACGTCCACGCCGTACTTGGTGTCATTATAGTACATCACTGAGTCCGGCTCTGCTTTCGGCCCAATGATGCCTCACGTGCGTCATTAGGCTCAATAAAGGCTCAAAAACGCTAGCCTTTTGACACTCAAGATTGCTAGAGGAAGTGAAGGAGATGATTGTTGCTATAGCAACCAAATGGCAACATCAGTCGCAGAAAAATTGATATCCTGTGTGCTCATGAATAGGTAGAAATGTTATACCTTAATTGTCTTTTGTATAATACATAAAAACATGGACTTATAATACAGACACATTTAGGAAAAGTTGGTTAGGGACAGAGTTGTATTTTTTTATTTTCACAAAGTTATTGATTATATATATACACCTTTCAAAACCAAAAATGTTAACACTGTTCTAGTGTTAACGTGGTGTAGGCACCACCGGTCAGCGTGGTGCTGACAATAAATGTGGCCATCAAAAGACAATTAATTTGTATAAAAATGTCGTTACCTGAGCCTAAATAAAATCCATTTAAGTAAACACTCAGCCGGACACAAAAGGAAAGTGAAAATGAGAACGTGCCACACTGGAGGTTGAGAGGATGAAAGGCGAGAGCAGTAAATTTTCCTGCAGCTAAGAGACATGACACAACATGAGGCTCCTCTGGCTCCGAGTTTGTGTGGCCTTCTAAAGTTGGCATATCTACACTTAACTGTGCCACAGCTGAAATTATGCCTCAGAAACCTCTCTTCGTTCTCTCTCTCTGTAAAGTCGAATGTAAGAGGCCGCCGTGTCTAGAAATACTGCTCCCACAAAGCCACAGGGCAGGAGGGGACACTCTGCCTCAGATTTATAGCCCAGACACACAGGGGTGTGTTTTTGCCTCAAAAACGGCGGAGGCAAAATTAAAGACGGTGATTTTATGTAATTGCACATGGATGTGCCCATTGCCCACGTTACTGACCCCAGCTCCTGCACTTTAATGATGGGTTGAGAGATTGAACAAGGCGAAACCCCCCCTCTCCCTCCTCCTGGCCTCTTCCCTCCCCCCCAGCAGAGTAATGGCTACATCGATGTTGGCCAAATAGATTTTGTAATGTGCTTATAGTACTAAAGCATCGAGCTCTCTTTATCCTATCCGGCCATCCTCATTTAACCATTAGTTCTCTGCTGTGAATGGCAGCCTATTAAGTTCCCAGTAAAATACACTGCATTATAATAAATTATGAATGCCTTTGTAAATGGAGACATTCTGATTTTCTATCGCATTATAATTAATAATAAATATTTTGATATGTTTATGTCCGGAGTCGAGGGTTGTTAGTTAAAAGCCCTACATCCATACAGTATCTACAGAGAGGGTGCAGATAGTTGTACGACCACCATCTTTATGGTAGTATTAGTAATATTGTTATTACTGTATCATTTTTTTTCTTAACTTTATACTATCAGCATCAAAGCAAAGCAAATGCTCATAAGAAACTTGGAAGACTTTTTTTTTTCTTAAAGTTTCATATTTTTACATTTTTTGATATTTTTCTTCGTACTAAATCAAATTTTAACTATTTGCCTGTGAAGTCTGGAAATTTTCAAACAGATATAAAGATAAACAACGTTTAACAACTACTTTTTAATTCTGATACTTTATATTATTTTAATAGTCTGATACAAGTTTAATAATTAATGAGAATTTGATAACCTTTAACCTGTTGTATTTGGGCAGTTTTTTTAGCTAATTTAGCTAACTTCAAGCTTTTTCTCTGCTAAGATGTAGCTGCAATTGGGCAAATTATTTTCATCCAATTCTGGCTGATATTTTGATTTTAACTCTGCTACCTTTGCATTTTTTGTTGAATTGCTGCTTTCTAAAACCTTTAGTCCCATTTAAAAGGTTTTCATAAATATTTAGCTTGGAGCTTTTGGTATTTTGCTCTTTCTAGTCTCTATTGAAACTGACCTTTTTTATTTGCATAATTCAGGTAACATTTTCTGTTAACTTTAAAACATTTGTTTTAAATGGTGCTGTAGGGGGTTTTTTTTAGCTTCTCCAATTGTCAATTGTTTTGCGGCTGGCGTGAAACACCTTAGATTTGCATATTAAAACATTAGCTCTGCTGTCATGTATGTCTTATGTGTAGAAATAAAAAGTAGCTGCACATTTCATGTTGAAAATCAAAGAAGCCTTAATATTTGTCCAGGCCTTGTTCAGAAATAGGATCACGCGTCATGAGACTGGTTCAACGTTTCAGGGTTGGCGGCTTTATTTAATAAAGGAAGTGGATTCCTCCTCCAACCACTGAGAGTGTCAGATATAAACTGTATAAAGTAAGGTGTCCAGGGCTGCAGCTGAGCAGTGGAAACTTTCTCTGAGGGATGGTTTTACCAGCTGTGAGGCCATGTTTCTCTGAAGGTAGGAAGGTGGTGTTGTACTGTGTGTTTCCAAATTAGAGACCGCGGTTCACGGCTTTACACTTAAATAATAGCAGCGTAATAGCAGGAAATCACACAAATGTAAATAAAGGATTTCAGTGGAAGACAGTGGAGCTGGACAGTGTCACCAACAGAGAACTTTAATCATTGTCCCGCTTACAGAAGTGGCAGGAAAATTCAGCCTTGTTAAAACCAAAGAGGGTGGTCCCACAAAGTTGAAACCCTCCACCCATGCTCCTCTTCACTCGTCTATGAATACACATAGACACAGACTCACTCCCACCACATATTATGGGTTTGTACTCGCTGATGGTTTCATATTTGGCTCCAACTGGATGTAAATGCAGATGTGAACCTCCACATCTCTGAAGCCTGGTGGAAAAAAAACAAGGGTTTTTCCAACCATGTTCCCAATGCGTCTAATCCTGCTGCCTTTTCATGGACCAACTCTGATATTGGTCCCAGATTTGCTGCGGGTTCTCAATCACGCTTAAGTTCCCTCCTCCCCCCCTCCCCCGAATTCTTCCCATTGCTGTTGGCACAATGTGACCTGCAGGAAATGGCTGAGAATTGTGACTATAACAAAGCTCGTGGACCGGTGCCAGACCACAGCTGTTTATTTAACCACACAGAACACTCATCATCGGGTTAATAACCACAGACAACTGGAGGAGAACTGCCGTTTAATGATTTGGTCAGTAATGCAGCGCACTATGTGCTTGGCTTGAGGAAAATCCAGTAACTGTGTGGAACAGTACAAAGTCAAACACCAAGATTCTTAGTGTTTGAGTCATAATCCTCTCAAGACTCATTCATTTTTGGTGCAGCTTTTATTGGTTTTGTCATATTTGTTCCTCTTAGTTAAAGACTTAGGATCTTACTTTTTTGAAGTCAGATTTTTTTTTTTCTAATCCATTTTTTAAGTCATCATCAGTTTTTTTGCCTCTGAGACTCGTCTTTCTTCTTACTGCCAGCCCTGCCCTGCCCATCCTTCCTGGATTTGAGGTCAGGACAGACCAGAACAAAGGATGGGCCACGGTCACTTTAACATGTACTCATGCTACATGTATGATAAGAATGTATATTCTTTATCTATGTTACTCTATGCTCTCTTTCTTTGCATTGGTTTTGTTTTGCTAGTTCAGTTAGTTGCTTCATATGTAGCTTTTCCTGTGGTATCATTATTATAAAAAATGTTAATGTTTCTTTACTCTCTGCCACAGTCAGAGATGAGTGGAGACATGGGGCAAAATGTGCCTGAAATGAAAATATATTATTAATGTTTATTTATTCATTTCTGTGAATTTCCCAACTGCTAACTTTTTCTAATTCTAAACTTTGCATTTAAGCTTTTGTTAATTCAGAAACACTTGTCTAGCACATTCCAGATCATCACACTTGTTGTACTGTATGATAAACTGTGTAAAGGGTTAGTTTACTGAAGAGATGACAAATAAGTTAGCATCAACATAAGCAATAAAATATGAAAACTTGCCTACAGAGCAGGGGTAGTTTTTGGTGCTAGCTCAACAAACTGCTCGGCAGATAATCAACCATTTCATCAATGGCCCCGTCTATTAATAGTTCAGCTTTATTTTCACTTCAGTGTATTTCAAATCCATGAATATATATTTCATGAAAAAACTATAGTATCCCAGAACTAGATTTATATCGTATGCTACTACGTTTTATTTTAAACTGGCAGTTGTTTACATATCTCTTTAAAACCAAGACTTGTGACTTGTTCAATAATCCAAATTTGGATCTTGGGCAATATCTATGGAGAACAGCTCCAAACTAAGCATTTATTTTACATAAGACTGTGAAAATACAGCAGCTCTATGACCAATTAGGGCTTTATTATCACTGGAGCATCTTAAAACAACGACACAATGAAAACATGTTGCTTCAAGTGATCAAAGCTAACGTTAGCTACAATTCATTAATTACAAATCATCTAATTAGTAAAGTATTTTTAACCATGTCCCACTACTAGTTACGGTAAATTGTGAGAAACACAGGCACGGGTGTTTACTGAGTATAGCCCAGGACGCTAACTAGGCTAAGACCGCCATTGCGAACAAGGACTAGTTTAGTGCTATTTAACATACCCAATTATAATACAAACAAACGAAATAAGCTTTAAGTCTTGTCCTTTTTGCTAAACATTTGCGCGATTATGGATACTTTTTTAAAAATAAAAGTATATATATATATATAATATCTCTATAATCATCTTTACTAATAACATAAATTATTAGTAGAGATTTCATCGAGTGTCCATCGCCGCTAGCTCTCTTGTTCTGAGACCCGTGTCCGGGCAGACGACTGCCTGTGTCCGGGTCATAACAGGGAGAGGGCGGGGTGTGACTTCCAGACAACTGTCGGCTCCAGTCCCTGAGCTCAGAGCTCATTAGAAAGATGAGGAGCTGCTGTCTGCGTCTGAGAGGGAGAAGATGACGAAGAAGAAAAACTTTTAATAACGGTCTCTGTTAAACGCGGAGGATGGAAGAGTCCTCACAAAAGAAGCGAATGTGCGTTAATGTGAGCTGAACCTCGGAGAAAAAACTCACGACATCCCTCGGTGAGTGTGATGTTTTGTTTTTGTTTTTAGACAGACGTATAGGATCTCCATACAGTACGGATTAGGGCACTGAAATATAAATAGTTTAGTTCTCACTTATGATAGATGACAGCAGAGATTATACCCAGGCTGTTTAGTCCCGTTACTGTACGCAGAGCTCTGACTGACTGAAACATTCATTACTGAGGGCAGTGTTTTCCTAAGTTTGGATCGAAACCAACAATTGAATCAAGGAAGATTTGAATTGGTCATAGAAAAAAATAAGCAGATGTATGTATTATTTATTAAATTTTAATGTAAGTGCCGGTGTTCCCTAAAACACTAACCATAGTAAAAATAACAAGTCACCAGATTGTTTTGTTTCTATGGTCACCAGCAGAAATACATTTCTTAGTTCTACTTTTTTCATTTCCCCGTAATCAATTATTTTGTAAGAAAACGTGGTAACGTTTGCCGATAGGAAATATGTCCACCAGGTGGCGGCAGAGTATCTGAATGATTCAATTTGTATTAAAACACAATGGACGGTGGTGGTTCAATTCCACCAACCTGCACACCCCTACTCTTTTAGCAACACAACGTTAGCCTCATTTGGTAACGGTCTAAATCGTCTTAAGTTTTCAAATACTTGACTAGATAGTGATCATGGAATGTAATATGCCTTCTGATTGGCTGATGGTGTAGCCAATAAGACAGCGAATCGGCAGCATTGAGAGAGCATGGCAGATATTGCAATTTGACAAAAAACTTGACTTAAGCAGTTATGCTACAGTATGGGACATGGGACAAGTAGCACCCCCTGCAGGGGCCAGAGAAACTTAATGTGGGGGCAGGGGTATTCCTGGACGGGGTGCAATAATTTGTAACATTATTTGAGAGTGAGAGTAGCAGTTCTTTCAGGATTAACAGTGTTCTACAAAAAGTGGTCTTGACACATGTCAATGTGGGGGGGGCATCCTTTCTACAAAAGAGTAGTGATACAGAGAAACAATGTTGCCTTTTCTGTTAAGATATGTTTTTGTTTCAGTGTTCACTGTTACTGTGGCTGATTTATTAGTTTGACAAATGAAAGTATGAAAATAAAAGTTAGAAGTAAAAATAAAAACCTCTGTTGTTATTACTGTCAGCGCACAGTCGTTGGATCAAAAGTAAAAAAAAAAAATCAAAATGTAGCTTAAACTAAAGTTCACGTGACAATCATCTTAAAGGTGATCAGGTTCATGTTTATTTGTTTTACGTTGACAGTGGAGCGATCACCTTCTTCAGGTCTCCTCCTGCTGCCCAACACAGTGGGTCGATGGTTTGAAGATGATCAACCCTCGGATTTACCTCCACTACAACCACACAGGAAAACTAGAGCACAGGCCAAATGTGGGCACAGACCCAGGCACTGTGGACACCAAAACCATCATCTTCCTCATCGTGTGCAGCTTCATCGTCTTGGAGAACCTCACGGTTCTAGTGGCCATATGGAGGAACCACAGGTTCCACAACCGCATGTACTATTTCATTGGCAACCTGGCACTGTGCGACATGCTGGCTGGAGTGGCTTACCTGGTCAACCTGCTGCTGTCAGGAGAGAAGACCCTGCAGCTCTCTCCTGCTCTGTGGTTCGTCAGAGAGGGGAGCATGTTCGTGGCACTTGGAGCCTCCATTTTTAGTCTTCTGGCCATCGCTATAGAGAGACACCTGACCATGATTAAAATGAGGCCCTACGATGCCACTAAGAACTACAGAGTCTTTCTGCTCATAGGGACCTGCTGGCTTATCGCCATATCTCTTGGAGCTTTGCCGATTCTTGGCTGGAACTGCTTGGACAACCTCCCTGACTGTTCCACTGTCCTCCCTCTCTACACCAAAAAATATGTAGCTTTCTACATCACAGTTTTCACCATCTTGCTCTTAGCCATGTCTATCCTCTACGCGCGCATCTACTTCCTGGTGAAGTCCAGCAGCCGAAAGGTGAGCAAGCACAGCAACTCGGAGCACGCCATGTCTCTCCTGCGCACTGTCATCATTGTAGTTGGGGTCTTCATCGCCTGCTGGACTCCCATCTTTTCCCTGCTCCTGGTGGACGTGGTTTGTGTGAAACGCTGCCCCATTCTCTACAAAGCCGACTGGTTCATCGCGGTGGCTGTGCTCAACTCAGCCATGAACCCCATCATTTACACCTTGGCCAGCAGAGAGATGAGACGAGCCTTTCTGGGTCTGGCATGTGGTGCCTGCTACAGGAGGAAGGTCTCTATCAGCGGGAACAGACAGTCACTGGAGCCCAGCCGCAGCAGGAGCAAGTCGTGGAGCAGCCAGAACAACCAGAACCAGCAGAGCTTCAGGCAGAAAGAGCCGGAGAGGGAGCAGGAGATGGACACGCCCACCGGTGAGGTGTCAGTGGTGGTAGGGGGCGCCACTCAGACTGTGCCAGAGAGGGCAGTGATTTAATGGAAGAGGTGTGTTCTTTATAAGTCATCACATCATGGTCTGAACGTTGGTCAAGTGGCGAAGACAAATGGGTCTCAGTGAGAATTGATTGATGAGGTGTGGACTTCAGGACCAAAGCTGCAGGCAGCAGTTTGTTCTTTAAGCTTAAACTTGATGATATACTGGATCTACCTATTCTTATGCTGCGTTCGGTATCAGATTGACACATGAAGAGTTTGTGTTCAGTGTCACGAACACATCAAACATTTATAGGACTGTGTCTTGTCCATTGTAGACATAAAAAATATATAAAGGTCTAACATGTTATCTCTTACTACAGCAAATGTAGGGCTCTACACATTGAGTTGTAGGGCCTTTTAGATTTGTTCTCACTACCTGCAACTTTAAAGAATTCTAGAGAGCCTCTCCCAATTCTCTGGATTATGGGACCCCCATGTTTGAACCAGTTAACCAAGGGCTCTAAATATGATGTTTCTAATTATTAGATTCTAATAACGTTAAGTTCACTGGACTGCGATTCATCCTTGTATGAATGAATAAATATAGCAATTACTACTTTTTTTTAAAGCAAGACTAGACAACCAAAGTTTTTTTAAATCCCTGCTGGCAGGCTTGGGTACTGCATCTAAAATTTAGACCTTGTTGAGGACATCCATCTTCATTTCATTGTCCATGTTGAAACCCCTTACATGCTGCTCTGTTTCTCTTTTATCATATTTAACCATGTGACCTTAACTGTGTGTGCCCCCTGCTGGAGCATTTAGAACTTGCATTCTACTAAACAGCCGTTTGGCTCAAATGTAAACTCCTATTGTCAATTGAGATATATTTACTTCTGTTGCAAAGTGAGAGCCCTACTTATTTATCTTCCTGTTTTTTTTACAGCAGACATACAAAACATATGTCTCTTTGATTTGAATTTGAAAACACAAAACATAACATAGCTCCAAATCTTTTAAGTTAGTAAGTTAATTGGGATTTTGCTGAGCAAATGATAATGAAAATGTGTATATGAATGGTGCTTTTACTTTGACAAAAAAATACCTCTCTTCCTTTTGTGCAATTATAGTGCTGTAAAAACAATGTCATGAAGAATGTTTGTACAGACATTGTAGCGACTATCAAATGAAGGAAATTTCGAATGTTTCCAATACTATAAAACACTGCAGTTACCTTCTAAAAATGATATTTTCCAATTGTCTGACACCTCTTTGCTGCCATTTTCATTATATATTAGTCCACTACCAGCCACTTAGAGCAAAGTTTTAATGACCATTTAAAATGACTATGTAGACCCTTAACTAAGGATTGACCAGAAACTAAACAGACAGTAATCGGTGATGAGACTAAAGTAATTAACGTGATCTGCCTTTAAAAAACCCACATAGCTGTGTTTTTGTTTTTATCAAACTATGCGAGAAAACAATGGAGCTATGGCTTAATTACATTTAGAGCGCCCTCTGCTGGAGGATACCGTTTGTACTGTGATCCTACTCGGGAATATCGTTGAATACTCAAGATTGTTGTTTAGATAACAGCCATTACATCACATACACCATCACATGCGAAATCAGGTTTTGGTCTTGCCATCCTAATATTATTCTGTTGGCTTTTGGGGATTCTTTAAAAAAAAGTTTCAGGTCAGACTATGTTGTATATGTCATCCTGTAAGAGTTGTTTTTGCTTTGTGTCCTAGTTATAAAGATTTTTTTCTTTACCTTTGGTTATATTAAAGACATTAGCAGATAATTTTGGTTTTGGTCATTACAGCACTACTAAAGGACGCCGTTGCCTGAAAGTTTATTTCCACAGCAGCATTTATTTGTATTGTGTAGACTCAGAACCGATGCAGTAAACGCCGCTTTTAGCAGTATTAGGGCTCCATCTGCTGGTCAAAGATGGCAGTCACCGTTACTGACCCTTTTCTTATTATGAGACAGTTTCACCGCAGAAAGCAAAATATGCTTTAAATTAAACTCTGTGCCTGGTGATTGTATTAGACACATTGTTTGGTCTCTGTTTTAGAAGCATGGGAATGTTGAACAGAATGTTAGAAGCATGTGGATGCTGCATGTGGTAATGGTTAAATAATGGTTTTCAACTGATTATATGACGAGGACGTATTGACATGTTAGGATAGATAGTCAGGAAATAAGAAATATCATTCAAATATTATTCACAATGTTGACTTGATGTGGCTGATAGAGGGTGTATTTTTCCGCTTGCCTGTTGAATTTCCATAAATCTTTAAAAGGAGAGGTGATCGTAGTATATACGACATGGGGCATCGCCATCAGGTGAAGTTCATACGAGTGTGGACGTAACTTGGTATGAATTGAAGTATGAAACAATTGTAAACCAATAAATCGTTTTCTGTAGTATATCAACCACTGGTTTCAAGTATTCTTCAATGGAGCGCTTAATAGAAAAGAAAAACATGACCGAGACGGTGTTTTTTTTTTTGGTACGCGTATTTTTATATACGATCTCTTAATAAACCGAATGTTCGTCCACCGAAAACTTTGGGCCGAAAATGCCATTTTAGGCCATTTACAGCCCAGATGTTTATTACCAAAACAACAGAGCCGGAATATGGATTAATATTAGGAATAAAGCAGCGTGCACGATGGATGCGGAGAGCCCGCTTGGAGACGGAAAAGTGCACATCACCGGAAATGAACGTTTCAAAGTAAAAGAAACTAAATTGTTTTACTCGTCTAATTCGTACAATGCCAGGAAATCGATGTTTGTATTGTAGTCGACAGACCGTTGGTTGTCACAGACCATTTCATTGAAATTCTACACATTGAGTTTTATTGACAACAGACCTACAAAACTATGATAATAATATTCAACCCATACAACTAAAGATTAACTCCGTAAACATCATTTTGGAATTCTTTCTCTGTTTTTATTTGTTTTATTTTTATTCATGTGTAACTTGTTCCAAAATAGTGATTTTCTGTGTGATTCTCTCTGACAAAGTTTTTTTTAGTTTTTTTTTTTTACTCAGAATCTGGAAATAAAACATTTATAATATATAACAGAGAGGCAGGGAGATAAAGAGACAGAGTGAAAACAGTAGTCTCAAGCAGCAACACTCAGCAGGGCGAAACACAACCTCTAGTGAACGGGCATGCCCCATCGAAGATCAGCTATTGCACTTTGAAGAGAGAGAAAGAGAAATGAAATCACTAGTAATACAAATAAAAGGCACATTTCCATCAACAAAAACCTAAAAAGAAGCTTCGTTCTGTTCTCGACGTCTCCTTCGGTTTGGTTTCTAAAAATGTCTATGTCACAGAATCATTGGAGAAAACATCATGGCGTCTATAATGCATCTGTCCTGTCCTCAACTGAAGAGAATGTCCACCTTTGAACTCGTGTTGTATTAAATCACAAAATATAAAGTAAAAACCTGTCAAATAAACTGCATGAATACTTTTTTTGCACCCTTTCTTTCACACTACTTCACAGAAATACCGATACGTCACTCTTTGTCTTCCGAAAACTGCAATCCTAAACCCTTATCCAACGTGGTACACACTCCCTCTTGCGGCAGGACAGAAAACTTACTTACGCTTCTTGAACACATACTGATTTGGGTTCAGCAAGAGGTTCACATTGTATGTGAAATACACTGCAATGCCCCGTACATTTGGTGACTAATAGTAAAACAAAGAGCGGGAATATCTGATCCCAGAACAGTTTCTCTAGGAACCTCCCTCTGTCGAACCTTTGATTCCCACGCTACAAAATCAGTTTTATACCGAAAGCTACCACAGACTGACTATGATAAGATCGAGTAATTTAAATTTGACCTGTAAAGTTATGCAATCTTTTTTTAAATTAGATGACTCATCGCCAAAATGCTTATTTTAACCCAATAATTACAAAAGTAAGCGGAAGTGACTGACTGGGGTAAATGAGTGTTCCCATGATGACACCTAGTGGTTAAAATGAAGCATTGCCGCACGGAGGAATAACGTCACTAATACTGAACATTTTGCATTAAGTGCACGTTAACACGCAACATTTGCCTGATTAAGCCTAATAAGTACACAGTATGAATGACATCCTAACACCGCGGTAAAACGGTTCTCCCGATTCAGTGATCGAACTTTGTGATTGTGCTACTCATCCTCATACAAGGTGTCAATCCAAAAACAAATAAAAGTACAACATTAAAGGTACTATATGTATACTCTATCACTGTATTTGGTTGGTTTCTGTCTTACCTACTAACTCACAACTTTTTTTGCTGCTTTTGGCTTTTAGCTATTTCTATGCTAACGTTCAGAGCTAATTTTATCCAATTTTGGCCCACTTCTTTTTTTTGACTAGCCTTTAGATGTGTTCCAGAAGTTTCCACGTGTATTTCACAAGCTGTTTCTTCCTTCAAACAATGCCTTAAACCAGAATTTAATATATATGATATGTGCTTAAATAACCCTCATAAATACAATTAAACTCAACAAAGGCAGAGACAACATATCCCACTATCTTTCCTTAGCACACTAACTATTGTTAAGGTTAAGGTTACAACAAAGGTTTAGCTAACAGCAGAAGTATTAAGCAGAACCAAGCAAAACTTGTAAACATAAATTATTTTTAAAATATAGCCAAAAATCTACCAAAAGAATGATTTATACCTCAAAATGTCTCCTAAATAATAATATTAACCAGATTGTAATCATAGACACACCTTTTTGATTTTGCCATGTCAAATCCAAAATGGTGTAAAAGATTAAGTGATTGCTAAATTGAAGTCTTGATTTCCTGAAACCTAGCCAAAAAAGATAAAATTGCAAAAAAAGCTAAAAAGTTACCCGCGGATAATAACAGAAAGGAGTGACATTTTGTCTAAGTCGCTGAAAATTACAAAAAAAACAAAAACAAAAAAAAAACATGAAATTTTAAATAATTAAAATAAAAAAGCACTGAGCTAGCAAGTATAGCTTTAGGGGCTAATAGGTCAGGCTAACATCTACAAATGAGCTAAAAGACAAATTATGCCAGCCAAAATGTTAGAACAAATATTTAAGATAGTAAGTACTAACTACTAGGGAAATGATCCCGGGACGTCCCAGACAAAAAAGAAAAAAAAAAAGGAAACGATCAAACCATTGTACCAAAAATTATACATATAGTACCTTTTAAAAGTAAACAAAAAAGAAAATATTGATACATAATGTAAGAATATCTATATTGTAACTCAGATGTAAAAAATAAAGTTTACAGAAAAAAAAGAGAGAGAGAAAACCAATGATCCGTTTACAGCAAAGAAAGAGAGAGAGAAAACCAATGATAAAAACGAGAGCAAAAAAAGAGAGAGAGAAAACCAATGATAAAAATAATTCCTACTTAAAAGCATAAATATCTTACAGTGTCAGCAAACACAAGCACCTCTGTCAGATAACGGGGTTTCAGGGTCTACAACAATGTCCACAATAACAGCTGATTTGAAGTCATGCGACTGTGACACAACAAAATACATTGTTTTTTTCATTTGTTTTTTTTAAAAAAGGTTAACTTTAAAGCCACTGACTGAACATTATGAGGAATACCGTATCTGTTGAATCCCAGAACTTTGTGACTACTGCGAACTGAAAGCTATTGAGTCCTAATCTTGAATCAAAGACTTCATGCAGTGACCAACGCCGTGAACTGTCACACTGTTGGCAAGATTCAAGGACGAGTTGTCCCCAAGTTATTCAGTAGAAACTGCATTTGTTCTCCCAACCTTTCTCGTTCCCAACTCATCCAGTGGTTCTTGTAGAAATGTGGTTGTGCTTGACGGACAAAACTAAACTTTTCAGGTTTTAATTCTAAAATACCCTTGTCCTCACCTCTCTGAGGTTTGGATTTGCACTTCATCTAAACTACAAGAACAACTGTATTTTTTCATCATCTTTTTTAAAACAGCAACTCAAGATAGTATGTTCAAATGCGCCTATTTCTTCTCAAAAATATAGCATTTCAGTCATCACACAAAATAATAACAATTCTATAAATACATTCTTTTGTCTTAAACAAATCTTGTGTCTTTCAGTGCCTACAGTGAAGTAACTGCAGGCCCACTACACCCAACCCGCCCTCCTCCCCCCCAAAAAACACATAAAGCCTTTAATAATCCTCTGTTCATGTTTCGTCTTCCTTCAAGTTTCAGGATGTAGGAGACTCTGTCCAGAACTTCCTGCTTCCCATCAGGCATCAGTGTTTTTTTCCAACAGGCTGCAGGAGGCACAGTTCGCTCCCAGCTGACACAATCGGCAGATTGTTGTCACGGTGATGGCCAATAAGGTGGCTGATGCTGTCAAAAATGTGATCTTTTGTCCGTACCTTTGAAAGGAAAACAAATCTTAATGTCAGTCTTCTTGGTCAGTGTGTCTCAACCCTACACTCGTGCACATTGACATTTGACGACTTGGACTTGAATCTCATCCTACCGTGCCCTCAGGGTCCACCAGCAGCAGATGTTTGGCCAGTCCAAAGTGCATGCCTGTCAGTACGTAGGACCCGGGGTTGGTCGTGCTCGTGCGGACCAGGAAGTCTCCATCATTTTTCAGCAGTTTTTCAGCATCACGGCGGCTCATTTCTCCATGGTACCACGTCTGACCTTCCAGCTCCTCCTGGGCCCGGAAGGCCAGCGAACGCACAAGAAGAGGACTGGAGTTGTCCACGGACGCAGCCTTGTGAAGACCAGATATCTGGGTCTGGGACTGACCTTGACACGGCAAATGGGACTGAGACTGAATTGCATCCTCGAAAGGCTCTGATGAAAACAGTGGCAAAAAAACAACAACAAAAAAACAGGACATAAAACAACAGGACAGAGCACAGAGGTCATCAGTTGTAAATGCAAAAATAATTTGTAATTATAAAATGTAGATGTTAATGTTAAATTAATGTTTTTTTCTCCACTTTAAAGATCTTTTTGAATATTTGCTAAAAAATTAATGTTTTTTTCTCCACTTTGGCCTTTAAAGATCTTTTTGAATATTTGCTACTACCCTCAAGATCAGCACTCACGGCGACTCTACCTGTGCCCGCGCCCTAAGCTTTTGCGTGTACCGTGGTGGCCCTCCTACTCGTCGCAGCGTATGTTATGTTATGTCAGAAATAAAAATGTGGCTCAGAAAAAAATCATATCCCCGAAACTAGTTCTGGACAACAGTCCAGGTCAGAACTGCTTTCCACCAAAGTTGACCAAAAGGTCCTGAGTATAACTATTAGCACAGATACTGCCTAAAGATGGCTGAGAATAACAAAGAAAGTTGGGCAACAATGGACCAAATTCTCAGTGATGTAGCTGCTCCACACCTTAGTGATAACTGATGTGTCATCTGTTATAATAGCAGCAGAACTATGGCTGAGTCAAGACTAAAGAGTTGAACTGACGTTAACACTGGTCTCCTATTGTCTTCACTGTGACATGGTGTGATTAGAACACCAGGCTGAACACAGTGAGGAAACAAAAGCTATAAAAACTGCTGTAATTAAGATCTCAGATAAGAAACTCACATTGATGAGTTTTTCTTTTTTTTTTTTAAAGTCAAGGCACAGATACTGGTTAGAAAAACAGAGGAGTTTGAATGGGCTCTGACTGAAGTTTAAAGATTCCAGTCACAGGATATTGTACTATTTTTGCGTTTCTCTTTCAAAGATTTTTTTTTCCCATCACATTGCTTCATGCTCAATAATAAAATAATGTAAAAATCCACTAAAGTCAGCTTTTATCTGCCAGCTTATTAACTAACATCTCTGAGAAAGATCCCAGCAGTGACGTCTGTTTGTCAGTGAAACAGTGGGAGCTCACTTCAGGCCCACACACACACAAATCCCTGGAGCATTTTTTTAAAATATTGATTCAAAAGTGTTTCTGTCTCTAAAACATTTCATCCAATTATGGAGTACAGCTTTTGTTCATTCATGAAGTGGGTCACTTCCTGTTTTCAGTGGAAGCATAAATATTTTGGGCTCATTAATCCTTTCAGCATCTGGAACAGGCAGAGAAAAAACACCTCTCCAGACACTGTTCTATAGAAGCCAATCACAGCTGAGCTTCAACAGGGATTAATACACAAACTAAAAAAAAAAATCTCACGTGATAAACAGCTGTTTCTAATTGTAATAATAAGATGACTTTCTTATCTGAGAACCTAATTATAATCTTAATTATACATATATTTACTAGACCACCAAAAGGCTCTGGGTTTGAAATGACCTTGACCCCTGATAAAAGGACAAGTCAAAAGTGATTTTTGTCTTTTTTATCAGAGGATTTATTGCAGTTCAGTGAACAATTTATTATTATTTTTAGTTCATTATTCTTATATTTGATTGTTTTGTTTCTTTTTGAGAATGAGCTTCCAACCTGATAATGTGTATATGTTTATCTGTACAAACCACTAAATGAGTTGCTGCCACCTAGTGGCTGGAGGCTTGTTATCATTTAAGCGTTACAGCAGTGGTACACTTATGTCCAGCGTGCCATATTCCCCCCCCACTATTTGAGAAGTACTGCACAAATGTGACACAGAAAAACAGTTGCATATGTGTGATATGTGTTGCTATGTGTTGGAGCAACAAACGGTTGTTTGTGTTTCACTGAGTTTCCTAACAGTTCTAGAGCCGAGTGCAGACTTACTCATGTCAAACAAGTCTTTCTGTGGACTCTCTTTGGCTGCTGCTGCTGCTGCTATGCCCTTGGTCACGTTTTCTGCTTCAGCCTGGAGAGCTGCGAGCACTTGGGCATCTATCTGCTGTGTGTTGACGTACATTGGCATCTCTGCTGTTTTTGCTGCTTGACCTTTAATCTCTGGTAGACTGCCTATATCAAATGAGGCTAGACAGCGAAGAAGAAAACACACCAGTTACATAAAAAAAAAAACAAAAACAAAAAAAACCAGTCCACGCGCTGCGGGTTGTAAATTCATACCCTGCTGTATGAATATGGACTTCCTCTCATCTCCCCAGTTTTCGCCACAGTGTCTCCCGTGGTAATAGGTCTGGTCTACAGAGCCTGGCCCAGTCTGAGGACACACGAAGACATATGGTGAAAGGCTGTCGAAATAACAAGTTAATCTAATTTTAGTAATCAGATTCCTTTTTTTTTTTTACTTATTTTAACACGTGCAGACACGAGGCGCATCGTACACCCAATAACTCCAAGGTCCAACACATACTGTAGTCGATACGAACATTCTTATTGTGTTTGCATTTCATCAAAGCACCTCCAGCTTAAAAAATCATCTCAACTCCCAGCATGTGTTTATACAGGCCTCAACAATATACAGATTTTCTTTTCCCCCTGTCATATTTAGGAATGTTATTTTTTTCTCAATTAATCATGATTAATCATGATTATTTAGGATCACAGTTGATCACGATTAATCTGATAAATCTACAGCCTCAATTAATCCTGATTAATCCTGATTATTTAGGATCACAGTTAATCACGATTAATCTGATAAATCTACAGCTGTGTTTATTCCGATCAATGTTCAAATGTGAAGCCGCCGTGATAGGTTCTACCTGACATCCGTCCGTGGCAGCAGTCTGACTGCTCAGCCTGGTGTCGATGAAGCCTCCAGGTGGCGGCATCTTGCCTGGGATGTTGTTGTAGTACGGATGTTCCGTCGACTCCTCCTCTTCTTCGGTCCACGTGAGCTCCTCCATATTTAAGGCCCTTTTACAGCAAACACATTTTCACAACAGTTACAAGTTTCCAAAGACAGGAGCTGTTTCCGAAATCACTCATCAATTCCCTGCTCCCCCTGCAGGGAATTACATTGTAGCGCACTATACAGTTGACTCGCTGGTTAAATAAAAAATCGATTTCTGACACGACTGCAGTTGATTATTGTGATGGGATCTATTGCTTCCATAGTGTACATCGGAAGTACTGTAGCGGTGCATTGTGGGATACATTGAGTGCCCTTTATAGTGGACTACTTCTACCGACTAAACATTTGGACATCACTATAAAATGGCATGTCTATTGAACTACAGTGTATGTTGGGTGCAGGCGGTGTGGGACACATCCAGGGCTGTGTTGGTGTGTTAGTTACAGCAGCGTCATACTCACCTGTCATGTGTGTCCATGTGTGTGGAGGATGACTTGGTGGAGGGGCACTGGAGGTACTGCTGAAAGCGAAGGTCAAAAGCCTGACCGATGGTGCTGATCACGTCCTGGGCCAGACCCTCAGAACACTCCAGGATGTGGCAGGCTGAAAAAAGTCAGAGCAGCAGGTTTTACTGACTGATTTATTCTAAGATATGAGAAAAAACCCATGAAGCTACCTCTTCTGTTGACAGGGTCTTTCGCTACATAGGCAACATGATCTGTCGTCTCCTGAAAGAAAAAAAAATACGAATTGAATACTAATTCAATTAAATCATAACAACTAATTGAATACTAATTCAATTAAATCATAATTGATTTTTTTTAATTAGTTCAATATTTAAGAAATCTAAAAATTAATTCTAAATCTAATTCCAAATGTAATCTCTGTTCTGTCAACTGAAGATGTTGGACTATTTTGTATACGTATATAAATATTAAACATGTACATTTAAAAGAACAATATAAACATGTACATTGACAATACAATTTAGATGAAAATATCCTTAACATCTCACTTAAAAAAAACAATTATCTTTTTTACATTCTTTTTTTAGTATCTTTAAAATGCTGTCCATAATCTGGGTCACCATCTTCACTGCAGCCTCAGATGTGGCCCACACTCAGAATCCCTACAATGTCCTCTCATTAACAGCTTTGTTTAGACCAGTTTTCTTCGATGAACACTGTTAAGTTACTCACAGGGTCTCCACCTGACGCAAAGGAGATGGACTGCATGTGGTGGTTGGCAATTATCTGAGAGGAGAGAAAAACCACAGCCCATGTAAATAAACTAGCATCTGTTCATTCCATCCAGATTATTAACTATACTAAATACAGGTATTGAATGAGATTTCACTAGGGATGTAACAGTGTGAATCAGTTTAAAAACTGAGACAAATACAGGACAATTCGCAATCATTTAAATAAAATATGAATCGCGCATCAAGGCGTAAGGAGTAGGCTGCGTTATCTCAAAAGTCACTGGTCATACCATGAGACTACACACTCTAGTACAGTAGGTGGCAGTATGTGCCGTTATTTAAAAAAATCCTGATATAATCGTATTGTGAGTTGAGTGTATGTTTACATTCCTGGTTTTCACACAAAAAAGATTTTCACAGCAGTGTCAAATGTTGCAGACCGACCTGTTTGCAGTCAGGAGTCATCAGGTTTAGGCTACTGGTGGAAATGTTCAGGTTGATTGACATTCCAGCAAACTGGAGGTTGCTCTTGCCCAGGATACTGGACAGTGCTTTGGATGGTGGCTGAGGAGGGACAGAAGAGGAAACGTCTTTAGATCAGTCCAAGATAGAAAGGCTGCCATAACAGTATAGCAAATCCTAACAAATCCTTAGTCCCTTCCTCTTACCTTAACTAGGGATGTCCGATAATAATGAGCGACTGATATTATCGGCCCACTATTAGCATATTCTGTAATATCTGAAAGGATCGTTATCAGTTTTTCCTCTGGTAATGAAAACCTGATGACACAAGGTCTGGGTTTCGCCCATTGTGTGCCTTAAAAACAGTTTTGGGGGTAAAAGGGTGGATATAAAATTTAAAGTCACTAGATGGCAGCATTGCAGCTCATTTAATTAATCTCATTCTCATACAGTGCTTTGCACAGATAAATAAATAAATATTACCAGGCTGATACCGGTTGATATCTGAATCGGAAATTAAGTGTTTGGATGATATCGGCATATCAGATATCAGTTAATATCGGACATCCCTAACCTCAACCATTACAAATGTGTGTGTATCAGAGCAGCTCATGTGGCTAATCTGCCTGATCCTAATCCCTACCCCAGCCCTATTCTAATCCTAATTCTAACCCTCCCTCCAAAATAGCTTGATTCATCCTCAAAATACACTTGACGTGCAAAAAATAAGGACAAAGCTTGTCCACAATAATAGTATTTTACTGAAAAATGTCCCTGAAAGTATCGCTACACCAGAAACACACACACACACACAGAGCAGCTCAGTTTCCTGTTCACAGATATTGTTAACTACATGAGTCACTAAGCTCTGAGCAGGGTGTGCAATACATCGTGGGCTGGAGCTACACCCACACACAGTACAGTCTCCTACCTCCTCATCTGTCTCTCTGTCTGCCTGTCTCTCCCTCTCTCTCACCTTTCGTTCATGAAGGAAGCAGGAGAGAAAGAACCACACACTGACAAAGCTATTATTTCTTCCTTACC